AATTGTATAATACATCCGTTTGGGGTGTCCTAAGCACGTGGTAGCCTGACAGTATTGTTGACTCATCATATTCATGCAAATATGCATTATTCTTTATTCATAGTTATGAATTTGTGGGGCCATCTTTGGTTGGACATTTATATGCCAGATCTCTATCCACCATTGTAACTCATTTTTGGCTTGACGAATTCTATTTTAATATTTTTAATTTTATGATTTTTATTTAGTTGTTTTATTATTTATTAACCTATGATTTAATAATTATTTTTAGGCGAGATAAGTGGACATTAGCATAAATGCAATTATTTATCGATTAGGATTTTGTTGAAACATAAACAACAATCACTTTATATTGGTTTTTGACTGATTTTTATATTAAATAAAATTTGAAGTGTTAATTATAATTAGTATATGTAGCTGTATCATATTGTTATCTGAGCACAATTACATTCTTGATAAAGACGTGTTTTATGATATTATGTTTGTATGATATGTTCTATATTTGATAAATGATTTTTTCAACATTGATAAATAAATTACTAAACTAACTTATCAATGATTGATTTTTTTGGTATACTAGAAACATCACAGATGAATACATCACCGTTGAAGACACTAATAGAAACGAGGTCAATAGATAAAAAAAAATGAGTCAGGTCATCAATTTAATTTGAAAAATATTATGCCCCGTTCTCTTCGTCGTTTTCAAGTCGTTTTCTGTTTTCGATTTTTCAAAACACCAAAAACGCGTTTTCTTTTTTCCATTTTCGAAATTAATTTTTGAAAACAAAAAGAAATTTGTGAAGAAAGTTTTCTTCACAAAACACGTGAAAATGGTCAAAACACGGGAAATGCCATTTCTACTTCCTCTTTCATTTTATTTTCTTTCAGCAGAAAATATAAAGGCAGAATGAAATCTTGGCTCCTTCCTCCTCTTTCTGCTTCCTCTTCATCAATCTCTCATTGAAAGCGGAACGGATCTAGAGGTGGTAGGGCGTCATGTGCTGTTTTTTGACGACATCACGACGTCGTTCGTGAATTAAGACGACGCCTTCGTCGATTGGCATTCCCTCCAAAGCAACCGGTATGTTGTTGCTTCACTATAAGTAATGTTATCTAATAGTTTCCTGAAAAAAATTGAACTGTCTGGAGTAGGGGCGGTGGCTAGAAAATTATTCTAGGATGGAGTTTGTCAGTTGGAATCACTAGTAGTGTGGGTGTGGCCCTGTGGATTAGTTTTGAGCACAATCTAAAACCGAAGCCGACCAAGTCGATTTGGGTAAATTCCACCTGAATGCCAAATTTTGGAGTGTGTTGATGAGAGCATGGAAGGTATAGAGTTGAATAATTGGGAAATTGGGATCATGGTTTAATGGGCTGGGATTAGGATATAAAACTTGGTCGACCCAATTGGCTTGAAACGGTCCATCTTATTTTAAACGTCTAATCTAACTTATACAAAATTAGTAGAATTGAAGAATTATGTTACAAAATCAGCACAAAAAAACTCGCAGAAATGAGCAGGATATGAGTTGTTGCATGAATTTTCAGTTTGGGTGGTTTTCAATTTGTCGTTTGAAGCCCTCTGTTTATTTTGTGATGTTTTGATTGATGAAGAACATTTTACAGTTCTCCGTGTTTGATTTGGACTGCTTGTGTATCAACACTTTTGTAATGACGTTCTTCTAATGATTTGAACAATCTCCATTTACATTTATTTTGTTTTTAATGCTGTGAACTGCTGCTCATAGACATGATGAAGGAGAAAATGAACAGTTTTATTACAACCTGTTCAACTTACCCAATTGAATGCTAAATTCTAACTGCCAATTACTTATTACTGAGACATTCATTGAACTTGAGTATAAATATATGTTCATACACACACCAGGGAAATCAAAACCATGGTTTTTGCATTTACTAAGTTTGGGCTGAAGTTGGGCAGCAGCTTTAA